TGTGCCGTCACTCATAAAGACTCGTAGGTCTTCCCGGGCGGGAACTACGACAAGAAGCAAGACGAGGGCCAGGGGCTGCCCTTCACAGCTATACGGGAGCTGTTCGAGGAATCTGGCCTCCTTCTTGTTCATCCTTCAAGTTCAGAAATCCCTAGCAACGCTGAGCTGGATGCCGCGCGCGAGGCGATCCACGCACAGAAGCGTCTCTTCCGCGACTTCCTGGCACAACACAACTTGAAACCCTATATTGAGGGTCTTCTACCCTTCACTCGGTGGATCACGCCCCCGCCCCTTCCGAAGTACGTCCCTTGAACGCAGTACAACACCTATTTCCATGGTGACTGACACAACACCCGGCGGTCCTTGTACGGCGGCCATTTTCACCGTATTGGCAGACGCTTCGATGCGCGATTCTACGTTACTTTCTTGGACGAGGCACGGCCTGCCGGGTTCTCCTCAGGGGACAAGCAAGAACGGCTTCCCACCCCGGACGGCGGCCAGGAGGTCATCGAGGCACGCTTCGTCCACCCTGCGAAGGCGCTCGAGGAGTTCTACGCGCAGCGCATCTCCTTCTTCCCGCCTCAGCTATATCTTCTCAAGACGCTCGCGGAGATACTCCAGGGCACGCAGAACACTGCGGAGCAACGAGACCGGGTGCGGACGTTGTCACAGGGCGCGTTTGGGCGCATGGTGATCAACCCACGTCCACTGCAAGACGCAGCGGCGCAGGCCGAAGGGTACAGCGTGCTGACCTACGAAGGCGACGAGGCTCGCGGGGGTTCGCCGGGAAGACGCCACCGTTCTCGCGTGAGGTTCGGCCAAGGAGGGGTAAGCTCGTTTCGCAGTACACCATGGGATGCAGGTAGGCTCATCGCAGACGTTCTAGGCGGCGACTCAGATCCTGCTGGAGCGGAACTTCGACATCTTCACGGAGATTGAGGAGCATGCGTTCTCACAGCCTGCCAAACTCTGACCGACATCGCTCGACAAGGAACATCGCACATCCTAGCAACAGCGCGGCATGGTGAACAACACCCTCCATATACTATATTCTTCGTCATTCATCCCTAAGGATCGGATCGAACTGTGTCTCGCATGTATTTGACTTTGTCCACTGCGTTCACTTGTCATCAGAAGGCGCACCGTAAAGCACTGAATCAGGGTTACAACCGTGATTTCTGCCTCGTACGATCGTGACTATGCAGCAGACAAAGCAGGCGCACAAGGCACTCATGTTCATGGGACAACAACACAGTGTATTTCAAGCAAAGCTACACATTATCCCACGGAGGGGCTACGAGAAACGTGATCTGGGGCTACAAGACATAGGGCGTACCTTACGATACAGCCCCGGGGAGCGTTATGGATACAGTGAGGAGACCATAAAAGGCACAAGAAGAGTCGCAGTGTGGAAGCAGAAATGGAAAGCGTTATGCAAGGGGCCCCAATCAAGTTCGTGCAGAGTGCAAACGAAGCAAGCAGAGAGATGCGTGAATGAAGACTATTAGTAGCGGCGAACGTCCAAGATTAGAAGATGTGGTAGGAATTATGTGACGGTAACCGTCGTCGCGTGAAGAACGTCATGAAAGCCATAAACCCAGAGAGACAAGGGACATTGCAATATATGCCGTTTTGTGCGATTATGTGATCGGAACCAAGAGTAAGTCGGAGAACAAAGTCGTGGGGGAGGGGGGGTCTAGAGGTTGAAGACCTGGTAGTCGTACTGGACGAAGTTGCCCCAGTAGCTGGTGTTGCAGGCACCGACGCTGGCCATGCCGGACTGGCCGAGGTTGATCGCGTTCACGTTGTCCGTGCCAGCGATGTTCCACGTAGAGAAACCGTCGGCGTTGGGCGAGCCGGTGCGGAGGAAGTTGCTGTAGCGAGCCTGCATCTCCTTGATCAGTGCTGATTGCGCGGAGCTAGGGTTCTGGACGGTGCCGAACTACAAGGACGGGTCAGCGCCGAGAGTACAACAGACGTTCATCGGGAAGAAGACTCACGATGATCTGGATGTCGTCCTGATGACAGACAGCGCCGCCACTCGTGCAGAACGGGACCCCGTCGTTGCCAGGGTATGTTGCGCCGACCTTGTACTCCCCAACGTACGCCTTGCCGCCGTTGCCGACCCAGTTGCGCGCGAATGTCCAAGTGGCACAGCGCCAGATCTGGTCCGTACCGAGCTCCTCAAGCTGGGGACGCTGGTCGGGCTCGACTCCATCGACGGCGGGACTGGCAGCGTAGAGAGCCGTAGCCAATATGCGAGACGTGCGGGGATTGCCAAACGTGGACTGCACAAGGTCCTCGTAGACCGAATCGTCGACGTCGAAGGGGATGTTTCCGTAGATCGTCGGCCCTGCCTCGTTGCGAACGGTTGAGAGGATGATCGGCTTTGACTGCTGAGGGAAGGTCGCAGTGAGGTCGAGAGGGTTGGTTATCAGCACGTTGTCGCGGACCGGACGGATGGGCTCCGATGCGCCGGCGGCGGGATCCAGGTCGCCGTTAACGGCCGCGTCGAGGAGGGAATTTTGAGCGGACATAATGGCATCGGTCGACAACGCATTCAGGCAAGCCGAATCCGAAGTGCTGCAGTTGATGTTCGAGGTGAATGCATCAAGCACCTCCTGGTGAACGCTAGGAGAGAGGAAACCGAAATCCTATCGGCTGATTAGCGATAGGAATATCGAAAAGGCATGTGGGAGCTCACCATCGGGTCAGAGTGGAGGATTGCCGATTGGAAGAGAGACGACGCGGATGGGGTCGCAAGGATTGCCCGGACCATATTCGCGCCGGCGCTCTGTCCAGCGATGGTGATCTTTGAAGCAGAGCCACCAAAGCTCGGGACAACAGCCTTCAAGAACCCAAGGGCGTTAATCACGTCAACAACCGCAAGGTTGTGAGTACCATCCGGGGCCAGGAAGCCGAGCTATACGAGACATTAGTCTTGTCACACGAGACCGGTAACGATAATTATATACTCACTGCACCGAGACGGTACTGGATAACCGCAACAATTGACTGAGTCGCCGCAGCGAGCTTAGACCCGTCAAGTCCGGGACCTGTTGCTGAGCCGCCGGTGAAGGAACCACCATGAATCCTGAGAGAACGTCAGTCTAGCGCAATTATTAGCGGACGCGAAGCCGGACATACCACATGAACGTCGGCGCGTTACTGCCTTGAGAGATTGATGACGGGACGTATAGTATCATCGACAGGCAGTCCTCCGTGCCGACTGTATTACCGTCACTCGACGTCTGCAAGCAGGGAACCGGAAGTGCGGTGACGTCGGAGGCGCCATTCCTAGCAACAAACACCTCGTAAGAACCGCAGCCCATGCGGAGAAGACGAGCATGAGCACTCACGGTAGCTCCCAGGTGGTAGCAAGGACAGATGGCTTCCACCGCGTGACAGATGCATACTTGACAGCGAACCGGGTGGCACCAGAGTCGTCCGACGTGCCGTGTGCGGTGCCAATAGGCGTATCGACCGACGTTTGGGAGCTCGAGCTCTGACGGGGACAGAGCGCCCTCTGAATCCTCGGAGAGAGCTTGCACAGCTCGGTCTTCCAGGTGTACGGAGGCATAGAGACGTGTAGCGGGACCGCCGCTGCCGAAGACACGAGGAGGGCGCAAACCAGGGACTGAATGCCGACCATGTTGCTCTACAGAATGCGAGGCAATTGAGGAGGTTGGTAGAGTCCGAAGTCTATGGGCCCTGGGGCGAGGAGGTGCTGCCTGGAGGAAAGACCCTCGCCGGCGGGTTTATATGGACGAGCTGACCGGACCTGCGTCAGCCGTGTAGGGAACCGGAACCTGTAGAATACGAGAGCCAGGGGGAGATGACGGTAAGGAACAGCGGGGTGAGTGTTCGCTGCCATGCCCTAGCATTTTGACTGTATCGAGAACAATGCCATCCGGACAGAGAACCACAGCTCGGGTGCTGCACACAGCGCTCGCCCTTCTTCCACGTGGGAAATCATCCTGCTCGTTTGCTTCATCTGGCTGCTACCTTGTTCTGCAGATGGCAGGACGACCTACCGCCGGCACTCGTCCGTCCCTGGAGAGCACAACTTCTGCCTGTCGTGCCTGCTCGGCGAATATGCACCTCGCATCTATGCGATAACGGGACAATCTCCGGCACCCGCTCTCCTACCATGACGCAGGACCTGCAACGAGCGCTATCCAATGTCGGCAAACAACCACCTCCAAATACGGCGTGCAAACAGCGGTCCGCCGGTTCTTAAATTGCTTCTCAGGAACCGCCGCTCAAGGCACATACCAGGTACTGCATGCCGCGATGCTTGTGCTGACAGCGTGGTCTGGTTCTCTGACTCAAGCTGCCCTGAAGGGTTCCCGGTGCAGCGATGTGAACGCATCCCTACCATTAACTTCGAGGTCCATATGGTTCAGGATTGTGTAATCCAGCACTGGAGAGTTCCGGGCAGTCAAAAGCTTCGCCATACATGCATGCATTGCAGCCACTGTTGGCTGTGTCATGCTGGGCAACCGGTGGTAATACAGCTATCCTTGTGCTGCCACTGCGCCGGCCGCGGCGGGGACGGCCTTGCTCAATAAGTTCAGTGACAACCGCGCCGCCCATGCTCTGCACTACAAAGTGTACCCGGTGCTTTTAATTATGACAGCGCAGCAACCTTGTCCCAGAGAGCGCGGGGGCGTCTGGCCTCCATGTTTGTCCTCCGAATCCATGTAGGGCGACAAGGGACATGCCCTCGACTCCAGCGCAGGCAGCGAAAACAAGGTGTCTTCGTGCCTGATGAGCAGACCTTCGAGTTCACCATGCGCAGGGTCGTCTCAATGAGCGGGTGCTAGTTGATAGCGTGGCGGAGCATGGCGTGAAGGGCCGGGTTTCTCACTGGTACAGTACTCCAGGAGACTCACGCGCGTGAGTCTGCGAGTGAAGGGCATGCCGGCTCACCAAGGGGTAAGATGGTCTCGGAGGACTGTCCTAAGTACATGATGCATCCCTACGGGATAGAAAAACTATTCCCATTAGCCGACTCGAACGACTGACCTCGTCATAGCAGAGCAGAATCTTGAAGCCCATGTACTAGTGACGCGCTCTACCAACTGAGCTAAACGGGATTTAAAAGGGACTCTGATTGGTAACTGTAGTGCGCAGTGGGTATTGTCGGAAGTTTGCGGGAAACTCCGGATCAAAATGTTTCCTGATTGGGCCGTATTTAATCTGGATGACGATCTGGAACCGATCCCGAGGCGTGGCAGCATCCAGATCCACCGGTATCCTCGGGATGCGATGACCCGTCATCGCGTGGGTATCGTGAGACTGTGAACCGAACCATGTTCAAGTTTGTCTCGCTTATAAACTCTCCTCACCACGTCTCTCTCTCTTGACCTCAGTGTTCACTCTCGTTATTCTCCCAGTATTATTTCGCTCTCTCTACCTTCGTGTAAGTATTCGCTCGGTACGTAGCCTCCACATAACTCATCCCACTGATGTCTCTTGGCTCACATTCTGCCTAGGCCAAGATGTCTTCATCGCTTGAGTTGTGCGTACACTGTGGCCACCATATCCCAGCGGACACCAAGGTCCATCATGAGCGCGCATGTATTGAGCAGAGAAGAGCAGGTATGGCTGGAAAGCTCATGCCGTGTTCCAGCAACATCTACTGATCACTGCATGGATCCAGCCGAACTGGCTGCCCACCAGCGACGCAGAACGGCAGCGATGCAATCCGGACAGCGACCTCTTGGAGCCCCGCCGACCTTCAAGATTCCAGGTGAGTAGCGGCTCTGCGTCGGCATCGCTTTGGAACTGAAGTCGGTCAGCTGCACCCCCCCATCCACCCGCCGCAGATAACAAGAATAGACCAGGAACTGAGCGCAGTCACGGTGAGATATCTACCCACGTCCTCATGCCATTCGACTCAACTGACACCGCGATCTGTCAACAGTTTCGGGAGAAGTGGCCCCTCCTGGGAGCCATGACATTCGTACCGCGCAGTACGGCTCCCCGTATCCTTTGCAACCAACTTCTATTCCCTCGAACACCATCCCACATCCTCAACAATCGTACGAGGAGACAACACCTCTTATCCCGCAGACGGCTCATTCTCGTGTTGCTGCCGCTCGGCAGGGAGCGATGGCCGCGTCTCAGGCGACTGCTCCCGGGGCAGGCTCCGCTCAGGATCGTCCCGGTCCGGCAACTACCGGTGCCAATCCTCCTGCTCCACGTCACGCTGCCGCGGAGGTAGTCCCGGAGGGTGGCTTCAAGACTGAGTTCCACCCACACGCCCGCCGAGATCCCATCCGCGCTCGTCTCGACTACTCCCAGCCTCAGCAGCTGTTCGACATCACGAAGGTCAACTATGAGCCCTGGCGTCCATTTGCGACTCGGACTGACTACGAGCTCGCTGAGTTCATGCTCACCAGTGGACTGAACCGCGGGCAGGCCACCACGTTGTTCGATATACTCAATCGTATCGTGGTCGACCCCAGGCAGCTGACCGTGAAGTCCTACGATGACATCCAGAAGGCGTGGGATTCCGCGCGGGGGAAGCAGCCCGCTGTTTGTACGATCTCGCTCTACATGTTGTAATGTTCTGATGTATCACGGTAGTTCCAAGCCAATCAGTTCACAGTCCCATACGAACATGGCGAGAAGACGTACACATTCCAGCACCGTGACGCATGGGATTGGGCAGAAAGCCTGATCATCGATCCTCTGATGTGCCGCCACTTCGTGTGGCACGCGTACAAGCAGTACAAGGGTGTCAACGGCAAATGGGTTCAATTTATCGACGAGCCCTACACGGCCGAGCGTTTGTACGAGTTCGAGGTACGTCACGTGCGAGCATGGCGGCTAACAGATGTTGATTGGGCTTCAGTCCTCTCTCCCGCCTGATGGCGTTCCCCTCGCTTTCGTCCTTTATGCTGACAAGACACGCCTGTCATCATTTGGGACACAACAGGGCTATCCTGTCATTGCCCGTCTGGCCAACTTGCCGTCAAGTATCCGAAACAGTTCTGGCCACGGTGGCGGTCAAATCGTAGGCTTTCTACCTGTCGTAAGTCCGCATCTGATCTTAGAGGCGCTCTAACCTCGCACAGGTCTCCGACGAGAAGGAGAAGGGCAAGCCGCAGTTTGCTACACACAAGCGCGACGTCTGGCACGAAGCGCTGAAGTACGTACTCAAGAAGATCGCCGAGTTCTCGCGTTCAGGCAAGAAGGTTCGGTGTGGCGACGGAATATTGCGTCGCTTTTTTTCTCTCATATTGATATGTGTTGCTGACTATGAAGAACAGTGAGGGTCATCTTGATTTCGTTGTCGTGGCTGCTTGCTGACAAACGTGCCGATGTAGGGCTGTGATGACTCTCATACGTGGAGTAAACGGTCTCTTTCCTTGTCCGGTATGCCTCGTGCCTGCTGCCGAGCAAGCTGAACTTGGTATCAAGCCTCTCTATCCTCTGCGCACTCAGGAACAGGCGCAGTCCATAGTCATGAATCCCTCTCTGAGCGACAGGCAGAAGGAGGAGAAACTCAAGAAAATTTCCATCCGTGATGTCGAGGTAAGTCAGATTACAGTCATGGAGAGGTTCAGAATGATGACATTAGTAGAACGTTTTCTGGAGCGTCGTAAGGAGTGACCCTCACGAGACCAACTCGTTCGATAGGCTCCACGCCTACCACTCTGGCCTCTTCGCTGCACACCTCCTGGACGAGTACCAGAAAGTGATCCTGAACGCTGATGTGACCGCAACTGAGATGGTCCATGATCAGTGAGTAGCATATGTTCGAAACATTCATGGTAGTATGGAACTGACTGAGCTCCTCATAGAGTGGACGCGGTGCCGCGATGGGCCAACCTCTACCACGCCAGTGAGGTCGTCACCTTCAACTTTGCCGACGGCTCGAAGTACGAAGCGCTCTCTAAGGCAAGTGGATGCCGTCTACCGGATGACGTTACTCATCTCATGTCCTTTCTAGATCCTCATTCCCTCCACATACAACGTCCTTCTTTCCATTGATAGGTGTGGATTGCCGCTGTTGAGGGCAATGCGGATATATTGCGTGCTCGATATGTATGCTGGCCTCGAGTTGCAAACTGAGGATCGGCTTGCCTGCTTCGAGAAGAACCTGCCAAGGTTCTCTGCAGCGCTCAAGGTATGTGGGATTGCTGATCTAGCTGAACAATGTGATGCTAAACTTGCAACTCTCCGTAGTTGTACAAGCTCGAGCGTCCACAGAAATCCTGGAACTTCCCTAAAGACCACACCCATCAACATACTCCTGCGGACATCCGCGCGAAGGGCGCGACGTACAACTACAACACCAAGCCCAGCGAGCGCGCACATGGTATCATCAAGGCCATATATCAAGAGCGGACTAACTTCAAGAACGTCGAGGAGCAGGTAAACCCTCACTCAGCTCGCGAGAAAGCGGATGGTCTAACAACCCTGTCAGATCTCTCGGATTGAACATCAGTTTGTCGTAGCCAGGTTCACACGCTATCAACTAGACTTCCTCGACAAGCTGCGCGCACCGCCCGCTCCGCCCCCTGTGGAGGATAACGAGCCGACCAACTTGCACCAGTTCTACCACGTCTACGTTGGCTCTCACGATGACAATATCCCTCTATTGTCACTTCGGCATGCGTACGCTGCCCAGGAGACCTACAAAGACTTACCTGCTCGGCTGACCCTGTTCCTCGCGTCTCTCCGCCGCGAGTCCGACAACGCACCTCGAATCAATGGATATCTCATGGCAAGCGCTCTCTCTTTGCTCATACAAGCTCGGTCTAATGCTGATACCACAGATCACACCTTACAAGTATTTGAAGATCAGTTACGAGTCCGTGGAGACATGGAAGCTCGAGGTCGACAAGTTGCGCATCACCGCGAATTGGTACTCCGCGCCGCGCTATGACTGGGTACTGTTCAGGGGATCTGGGCGAGGCGAGTACCGCTTCGGTCAGCTGAACTCAGTGTTCACCTGCAACGTCGAAGGTACCATCTATCCGCTTGCCCTTGTCACGGTCTACGACGTCGTCCTCGCACCTCGGTCCAGAGTCGACCATGAACTAGGTCTGCTGCGGATTCGCCGCTGCCAGGACCAGTACGCGGGCTCTGCCTTCATCCATCTCGGATCCATCATCCGTGGTGCACTTGTTGTGCGTGACTATGGTTTACCATCGACATACCAGTACAGGGCGACGGCAGAGGAGGAGAAAGCATACGCTAGGCTCAACAGGTACCATGGTGCTGACAACCGGGCTAGTATGGACGCATTCTGGGACATGTTCTACGATCCGCGGCAGGTAGCCTCTCCCTTTGACGACCGCCTCGTCATTGATCTTGTCGATGCCGACATGTTCCTGCGGTTGCGAGGGTACTTCAACTTGGATACGTGATAGTCATGTACAGGTGTGCTACGTCGACCTCGGACTACGTGTATGAACTGTATGATATGGTAGCAGATGGCAGATGTACGATACAGCAGCAGACGGTTGAAATGTACGATATGTAGTACGATGGTATATCAAGTCGGAGACAGTATGTCACGTGCACTTTCCGGCGGTTGGTCGTCCAAAAGCATACGGGCTCGTCCAGTTCTCAACATCCATCGTTCGGTTCCCGACGTTCATTGTCTGTCCCTTCCACTCTCAGTCCGCAGAAGACTAGCAGTAGCCTAGGTCTTGACATCCAAGCGACTTCCTTCAGAACAGCGTCTGCATTCGCGAAAGGCAACATCCGGTCTATGCTCATATTATATTCAGTTCGTCCCTCAGCTTCATATATTCTCACTCGCTGATCATTTCGAATGTGCTCTTTCTCAGAACCACACTACAACCCACTACCACAGATCTGAACATCGATGGCCAAACTATCTTCGCACCGCCTCGACATCCGTGTTCGTAGGAAGTACTCGTCGGGCTCCTTCGGTGCGTGGCCTCATTCAATGGTGAACTCGACACATTCACTAACACGCCTTTTGCAGGTGGCATCTACCTTGGGATCAACATCACCTTAGGTGAGGAAGTTGCCATCAAGCTTGAGTCGGGCAAGGCCAAGTACCCCCAGATTGAGTCCGAGTTCAAGGTCTGCCAGGCCCTTGCTGGTGGTG